AAATCATTTCTCCAAAATGAAGGTGTGACAGCTGGCAAGTGAGCCAATAAAACTTTCTGCTAGCACGTTGAGAAGCAGAGGCTGCAGAACAAGTTTCTCTTAAAAAAAAAAAAAAGTTGTAACCGGTTTATCAGGTTAGAGGAATTCACTTGTTCTTCCGCCTCTCCCCCCATCCCATTTGTTTCCAAATGCTCATCTAACCAGCTTGCTTCTTGCTGAATTTGTTGATGTGTGAGAAAATAAATTGCACCTGCAGCTCAGACGGAAGATCAACAGGCATCCAAACATGCTTTAGAGAACTGGTAATCTGCTATCACCTGAGGAAGTGGCAAGCCCTGAGTAATTTCAATTTGTGTGGAGTGGGAAAAAAATGCCCAGCTTTGTCTTTCTGTGTTTAAGAATATTAATCAAATCTACCATCGATGTATTGGATTTGACATACAATGTGATGAAAGACCAGCAAGACTAGCCTAGTCTTTCAAATATTTTTTTAATACTTAAATATCAATCCATAGATGAAATTTGGATCCTTCCAACAGATCCAAAAGCAGACCCAGCTCTCATGAGAACTTCTCCCTTCTTATGTATATCGTTCAAAGTAAGATAGTAATTACAGTTAAATACTGCAGACAGCTCTCCAAAATTATTAGCTCTTCTTAGACTTATCCTTTGTCAGGGAGACATGCAAATATCACCTTGCAAGAGGAAAGTAACATGGCTTAAGGCAAGTCATGCTGATTCAGCCAGGTTTTCTGTATGGTAAAGATTAAGAAATCCACAATGCTTTCAACTTAGTATGCAATCTTTAACTTAGAACCCCCATGGCTAGAATCAGAAAAGCACAAGAAGATGACAGCTTTCTGATGACAGAGTAATGGGGCTGAGAGAAAGGCAAAGTTCATTTTTGTTTTGCTCTTAAAAGAAAACTTCAATTCCTGCGAGGTTTCGGAGAGCAACCTGAAAATAATTTTCTCCCTTCAAAGCCTGGAAACTGGGAAACCATAAAGCTCTAGCATTTATTTAGAAAATTATAAATAACATGCTAAATAAGCCAGTCCTGTGATTCGAGGATCTGAACAATGAAACCTAGCAAGGATGTCCCAGTAACGCAGGAGGAAACACAGGACGCTACACAGGACGCTATTCGCTTTAGTAAGCGGTGTAGGTAATGCATGTTTAGAGGCTTACATCACAGGCTGAAGATAGATTCAAACACACATTTGAACAAGAGATCTCCTACTTACTTCGGTAAAAAAAAAACAAACACCTGACATTTTTCCACTCAGTAGCATTCTGCAGCTACAACACGTCTCAGTCAGCAGCTATAAGGTCACCATTACTGGTCCAACAAAAGAGGCAAGTTATTAATGCCACTTTGAACTAAATACATCAAGCAGACTGGTTCCAAAGGGCACACCTGTTATGATTTCAGGTAACTATTTCCCAAAGCGTAGCTATCCAAACACTGCGTATCACCAATCAGAAAATATAGCCAGATCCCACAAACACACTTAGACCTGTGGAGTCAAATGCTTGTCACCCTGCACAGGCACAGTATTTAAAAACTCGCAGTAAAACGTACAGAACACACACTGCAACAAACAGCTCAGTTATTTGGGGGCACTGTGCTTCAAAACCTCACTTTCTAGAATTACACAGCAAAGATGTATCAGTAGGGAACCCTATTTTAGAATATTTCTTAAGACAAACCCAAGTCGTAAATTACGCGAGATGTAACACTGTAAGAATATGAAGTAAAACTGAAATGATGCATCATTTGTTGAAGAGCCTTGTTACCAGCAGAGTAAAGACTTAACCAGAGATTACAGGCTTTTGGTAGACCCCATGATCGCTGCAAAGTGAATCTGTGGTCAGTGGAAAAACTCCAGACCCACAGTTAGCTGAGCTACTGTTTACCAGTTACGAATCACAGAAGGGTTGAGGTTGTGAGAGACCTCTGAAGCAGGGATAAAAGTTACAATGATTCGTGCTTGGCAATTCTCACTTCCCTCTAACATAGAGGCAGGGAAGCCAAAGCAAAAGCAGGGCTTTGCTTTCATTTGCGTGATTGAGATGTGTGCTGAAGTAAGCGACTTTCAGCTGCATCACCAAATTGTCTACCACCATCCAAGCAGGGTGTGGAAAGCTAACTTCACATACTCTATAACACAATCTCAAATCAAGGTACCAGTCTTCTTCCTTTTACTCTCCCTTTTCAAATAACCCCTTCAACCACCTGTGCTGCTGCTAATCAAAACACTTAACTGAGGAAAAAAAACCCAACCTGTAGGTGTTGACACCTGACTCGTCCTTCAAATACATGATGCAATTAAAATATTTAAAGGACTTATCTTCAAAAAGGCAGAAAAGTTTGGTGTTTGCCCCCTTGCAAGTGGGAGGATGAATTAATTCTCTCCTTCCTCCCACGGAGCCAGGACACACGGGGGGGGGGGGG